AAACTTTCTACAAATTGCACAAAATTTTCAGTCAGCTTCCTATCTATGGCCAATATGTATTGTAACCATGGTGAAATTTTTCGTTTTTCCTATTAAATAAAAAAAAACATTTTAAAGTAAAGTAGTAATCATTTACAATTTAATTTACTAATCAGCGTATGAAAAGGATAAAATTCCTGAATACTATTGCAATTTTCAACTGTTTGTAGAGGATGATTCACGAGAAATAATTATTTTTCAATCATGTTACCCCAATAATTTTTTACGCAGAATGAAGAGAGGATTTCACCTGCGCAGAAAAAAATGTGTACTCAAATTTAAAAGAAAATAGTGTAACTGCAAAATATACCTGTATTGTTGAATGTATGAAAAACCTACGATCGTGAGTATATGGAAGATCTTACACCATTCATTTTTACCTTATATCATATTTTATTAACTTCGATATTTGGCTAATTTTAGCCTTCGGAAGGAAGGCTTCAAATATAAAATTCTATAAAAGTAAATTTTTTAATTTTTAAAATTTTTATTAATTTCTTAAAATTAAATTAAAATTAAATTTTGATACCATCAAGTATTTATTAGTTTCCAAGATATTAATAAAAAGGTAATTCTGCAGAATCCTGATGATAAAAGCGATTTTTATAAAATTGACATATGTTGTAAAAGTTATAAGATGTATTCCTCGAATCAGAAAAAGTTATTTCAAATGCTTTTTTGAGTAATTAATAATTGTAAAAATAACTGCGCAGACGAATTAAAATGAAATCCTCGCTCCAGTATACGGGAGCGTGTTTGTAATGTTTCTCTATATATTCCAATCAATTGCAGTAGCATTGTACATTTTTTGTAGAATATACACAAATGAATTTTATTTAGCGAATAGAAATTGGTATTATATGTAATACAGGTAGCGAAAGTTTTTCAAGATTGTATTAAAAATTAAATGAGAGCAACATTTTTTTCAGGGGAAAAAATTGTTCAAAATTTTCTTATCTACAACATTTCTCATTTTTATGAAAATCGGTTATTCAGACACACATTATAGTATTACCATATAAATGGCTATTTCATTAAAAAATGAGACACTTCGGATAACCACCAACGGGTTTCTTTAACCTTTTGCACTTGAGAGGCGACTCTCAGTCATCATTTAATTCAATGGACGGAAAAATTACAAAATTTAAATTCCATATTACATTTTGTATAACATATTAACGCATGAAAAATTCAAATAAAGTAGTTTTGTCTCTTAATTTATGCAAGATCATTCATTGTGTTAGCTGCAAAGGAACTCAGCGATTTCATCGGAAAATAATGAATATTTATAACGAGAAATATTGTCGAGTACATGGGGTTAATTATAACCTTTCCATTGATATCCCACAATCTCTGCTCTGCGTTGTCCTAAATACGAAATTTCTGCCTAAAATATTTAAACTTACAATTTATGATATTCTGCCCTTTAAATTAGGTCAGTTTCAATGTTTTCCATTATACTATAATTGTACAAATATTTGTTACGCATATATTTTCGCTATTTTATGGATATTAATTAATAGTTCAACAAAGGATATAAGTATCGTATTGATTGTCTTTTTTTAATTATTTTAAAAACTTTTTGGAATATCTATATACTTCTTGTTTGTAAAAGTTTTACACGTAATCTGCGCATAGCTCTAATTTCCGAAATAATCGTGAAAAACTTTCGCTACCACGTGACATTGAATTCTATATACTTAGAAGGGCTATATAAAGTCTAAGTAATGTATTTAAATAAGACGTCAAAACAAATGGTGAAGTTGAATTAAAAGACATTTCAAAACCAAAAGCAACAATTATATAAGACAAGGCTAGATTAATAGGAAAGCATTTAGAAAAATGATTGTTTTTAAGAAATACTTGAAAAGTATTTTTTCATTCAAATAAGAATATTTGTTAATAAAAGATTTTAACAAAGTACAATATGTCATTTTTTATCCAACATAACATAAGTAGATATTGATACTTTTATTTTTATACTAAGTAGATATTAGTACTTACTTTTAAAGAAATAGTAAGTAAAAATATCAATACCTAAAGGTATTGGAGAATATCCCGAATTACATGACATATACAATGTAAATGTCAAGCAACATCAAAGAACAAAAATACAATAGATTAACCAAAATTATAATCATCTGCAGCATGTGAAAAACATACACACATGACAAACAGTACAGACAAGGAATCCAAATTATCATGAAAGGAGGTTGATAATAATAACATTGCATCATATTATCAATTACATCAAAGTACAATTGTTTGAAGAATGTTTTCTTATCATCAAAGATGCTTATTTGACGATAACTTATTATATAGTCAATGTTAAAATGGTTATTACTTTGCATTTTAAAACATATTTTGAAAACATACAGGTTAAAATTTAAACGAATCTCATTGCATGAAGTATTCTAATAGAAAATATACAGTTCAATGGACTCAAAAGAAAAAGATTCAAAGATAATGTGAGTAAACGAGAGGATAATAGGGTGATCGGGTAACCAATCTTTCAATAAAAAAGGTTTTATTATATTTATTATGAAATAAATGAAATGTATTATAAATTATAATAGTAGAAATATGTACCTCTGCCATATTGTTTTATGCACAATACACCGAAAAAGTATTAAAAACTCAAGTTCTAATTGTTTTTATCATACACCATAGATAAGCCATAGGCACCTCGTCGGCGGTACAAAGGTAACTTACGAGCACAAACGAGGTATATGAATAGATGTACAAGCAAAGTAAAATTTTGTCACACACCCACGAGGACTTTTAGACTTTAGTCCTATCATATCGACACGGCTAGTATTACGTGCACCGCTGTAAGTCATAGGAATTAAAATAAAAAATATTGATACATAGATTGTGCATGCAATCACCCGCGACAGACAGGATAAATTAAATATCTAGAGATATACGGATGTAGACGCAGCTTATGGGAATTTTGTCTTGAGGGATTCGGAGGATCTCCGTATCATTTCGATGTCGCGCTCAATGTTACCGATAGTATTAATTTTTGACTTGCTAGTAGGAATCCAATTAGCTATATAAGTACCTCATTTCTGTTACGAGTGTTTTACCACAAACGAGGTATAGGATAGACATTACAAGCTTATGGGATTCGGTGTCACATGTTCTGAATTATAGATTGTGTAAAAAATTGAATTAAAACAATCGACAAATTTTCTACAACTGTATAATTAATCAAAATAATTTTTTATACAAATTTTATAGCTATAATTTATATAGTAAATGTATTTATGAAGATAGTTATATTTGTGAATTAATAAAAATTTTATTGTCATAAAGTTCTATTGAATAAATACTACTTCCATTGTTTAAATGTACGCGCCTTATACATTTGTTGTAGGTAAATCATATGACGCACTCGTAGCAAAACTGAAGTATGTCTAATAAAATGAAATCGTGTATTATCGATAACGTCGAGTGCGACACTCAAATGGCTTGAGACCCCTGAAATCCTAGACAAGAATTCTCATAAACTTCAACGCCTGTACTTATCCTAAATCTGTGTTTCAATATTCTTTATTCTAATTCCTACCATTTATAGCACAACCTGTAAAACCAGCCTTAATCGATATGATAAGGCATGATACGAAAATGGTAAAGGGGTTCTATGACCCCCGAGAGCGTGTAACAAAATTTTACATTGCATGTTATGTCTATTCTATATCTCGTCTGTGGCGCAAGTTTGATTTTATGAGTCCTCTGTATTCTCTATTTGAAAATAAACTCATTCAATTTTTCTTAATTCTCATTTTATATGTGTGTAGTGTATAAAATATTATATATGTATATATAATATAAAATGGCTAAACATCATCCAGATTTGATCTTCTGTAGGAAACAACCTGGTGTTGGTAAGTTTAAAATTTTTAAACATTTACAGGTTACATGCAGTGTTATCAATTGCTATACATACATGTTAAATAATATTAAATAATATTTATAATACATTATACTCTATACAAAAGTATATTAATATTTTAATATATTGAAATTATATAAATGTATACTTTTAATAGAGCTACAATCTATTTTAAAAGATGCATAAATTAATTGTGTTGAATGTCTCATATTATTTCTAAATATTTACAAA